AAATCCTTTATAATTTTAATTATTTAATTGCTCCTTCCTCTCTTCCTTGGCATGTTGTGAAATTTCTGATAGTTGGATAATAAACTGTTTTATTGTAATTTCTCTTTTTAAATTATTGTGAGCTGATATTAAAATTTGGAAAAGGGCAATAGGCAAAATAGGCGAATTTCCTCCTACAACTTCAGTTGTTGTTCGGGATACAGTTAAGGTTTTAACAAAGTTCGAGCGAATACATAATTAGCAAAAAATAGTTGAAATAAAGTGATTAAACAAAAACTATTACAAATATCATAAATAACAGTTCACAAATGCATATATAGAGATATTAAAAATATGACACTTCAGTGTTGCGGCGTTATTGACAGCTATTTGTTAAGTTTCCGACGTGCTCGCTAGTACTTTCAACAGTTTACAACCGTCGTCTTCAGGCGAAATCGAATACCTTAGTTTTCAAATTGACAGCTTTTAACAGACTTTCCAAATTACGTAATGCGCATGGTTGGAATATAGAACAAATTAATAAAATTGAATAAATAAATATTTTTTTAAAGAAACCTGCTGTAATAACTTGAATTCCCCAAAACATATAAATATTGATTGATGGTGCCGTGCATAGTAATGGAATAAAATCAGAACACAAAATTATAACTTGGATTGTTTAAATAAAGTTATCCATAGCTGTGGTATTTCCAATGTCGGCGCATTACANGTGTACACGAATAAATCAGAAGGTTTTCAGACGTGTGAGCTGGAAACATACAGTTGTCCATGTGAGAAGCACAGATTCTCCAAATTTTGCCCACACACTTGCAGCGATTGTCAGAAGTGCGATATTCCCCATTTTTATATACATTTTTAAATCCTTTATAATTTTAATTATTTAATTGCTCCTTCCTCTCTTCCTTGGCATGTTGTGAAATTTCTGATAGTTGGATAATAAACCGTTTTATTGTAATTTGTCTTTTTAAATTATTGTGAGTTGATATTAAAATTTGGAAAAGGGGGATCCCTAGATCGGTAAAATAGGCAAATTTCCTCCTACAACTTCAGTTGTTGTTCGGGATACAGTTAAGGTTTTAACAAAGTTCGAACGAATACATAATTAGCAAAAAATAGTTGAAATAAAGTGATTAAACAAAAATTATTACAAATATCATAAATAACAGTTCACAAATGCATATATAGAGATATTAAAAATATGACACTTCCGTGTTGCGGCGTTATTGACAGCTATTTGTTAAGTTTCCGACGTGCTCGCTAGTACTTTCAACGGTTTACAATCGTCGTCTTCAGGCGAAATCGAATACCTTAGTTTTCGAATTGACAGCTTTTAACGGACTTTCCAAATTACGTAATGCGCGTGGTTGGAATATAGAACAAATTAATAAAATTGAATAAATAAATATTTTCTTTAAAGAAACCTGCTGTAATAACTTGAATTCCCCAAAACATATAAATATTGATTGATGGTGCTGTGCATAGTAATAGAATAAAAGTAGAACACAAAATTATAACTTGGATTGTTTAAATAGACAGCACTGGCAAAACATATCTCTGCTTTAGTACCTCCCTCCAACTTAGTAACCAATACTGTTTTAAATGCTAAAGCTAACATTGTAGCTACACTAGGTAAACTTCCCACTAACTCGTACCGGTTGTACAAAATAGACATTATTTCATTATATCCATCAGTACCACATTTTGAAGCTGTCATGCTTGCTAATGCACTTCTACTGAGTTCTGGACACCCCAAATCACATGTATTACACTTGCGTGATGCTCTTTTATTTATCACAGAAAACAACTATTTTCAATTCAATGGCAAAATATACAAACAAACCCAAGGGTGTACCAATGGGCTCCCCCTTATCACCTATTTTAGCAGAACTCATTATGAGAAATATAGAAAATTGTATTTTCCATGCACCTTTAACAATCCACTATCCTATCATGTATCTACGATACGTTGATGATATTTTGATTGCATGGGATAGCTCTGCAGAGGATTTAGACAAATTTATTCAAATGCTAGCTTCAATATATCCTACTATAAATTTCACTGTAGAAGAGGAGCAAGAAAACACAATTTCCTTTTTAGATTTAGAAGTGCATAGATATCCAGAGCTAACTTTTGCGGTGCACCACAAAAACAACAGAGGGCCAGATATTATCCCTGTAACTGCTTTCCAACCCCCGAGCTTTGTTAACTCCGCTATTACTTCACTTATTCAGAGAGCACTCCTCATTCCATCTTCCCAGACATTAATTGATGAAGAATTACAAATTATCAAAAGAGCAATGCACAATGCCGGATATTCCAACTCCAGATATCGATATCTCTACAACCGGGTCAAAAACAAATTATTTCCAAAATCTTTCCTCTGCAACAAAGAAAGCCTAAAGATAATAAACCCTCCAATACCGTACCTGGGCACCATCTCACTAAAAATAACACGCATATTCAGGAAATATGGTTTCATATTACCTATAACCCCTCAACCGTCACTACGAAGAACATTGTGCAACGATCGAGACAGTCTCACGTTGAATGAAAAATCGGGAGTTTACAAAATTCTATTAAAACATACAGTATCAGGGGAGGAAATTATCTATATTGGAGCTACCACCAGAATGATACGGTCCCGGATCCTCGAACATCAAGAAGATATTAGAAATAATAGACCAGCTACAGAATTAGCGAAAAAGGTGCTAGAACAAGATTATCTTCCACTTTGGAACCATGTTAAATTACTTAACCATTGCAATGATCGTAGGCAAATATTCATATGGGAAAATCTTTATATATCTGCTGCTTTGTCGTGCAATACGCCGACATTGGAAATACCACAGTTATGGATAACTTTATTTAAACAATCTAAGTTATAGTTTTGTGTTCTAATTTTATTACATTACTAGGCACAGCACCATCAATCAATATTTATATGTTTTGGGGAATTCAAGCTATTACAGCAAGTTTCTTTAAAGAAAATATTTATTTATTCAATTTTATTAATTTGTTCTATATTCCAACCACGCGCATTACGTAATTTGGAAAGTCCATTAAAAGCTGTCAATTCGAAAACTAAGGTATTCGATTTCGCCTGAAGACGATGGTTGTAAACTGTTGAAAGTACTAGCGAGCACGTCGGAAACTTAACAAATAGCTGTCAATAACGCCGCAACACGGAAGTGTCATATTTTTAATTGCTAAACGCTGGCGTGAAGTGAACTACATTTTCATATATAGAGATATTTTTTGGAGGGGGGAAATGGTCTTCACAATTTGAAATCGATCAAACTCATGATAAAATGCTCGTATACACCCGCAGCATCTATTGTAGGATAAATGTACTATGCCAGAAACCTTCGCGGGAGTATATTAAATAACTTCCCAAAGTTTCATGGCAATCAGATAAACAACATGATAATGCATGAAGGACATACAGACAGACAGCCATACATTCATTTTTATATATATATAGATTAAACCCAGGGCTTCAGAGTCAGAAACAAATTCATTGTTAGAGGAATCAAAATCAGTAAAAATGGATTGACTCAAAAGATCTTATTTTATGATGATTCCCTTACTATAAGATCTTTCTTTGCATATCACTAATTAATGTTGATTTTCTTTCCAAAAATTTATATTCAAATATATTGTGTGTTATCTAATTCTAAATTTTTATTGGCAAAAGACTCATACAAAATGGTTAAGAAGACTTAGATTAAATCTAGTGTTTTTGAATACTTTACTATAACCATAGATAGAAAATGCTTTGTGTCAATGTGTGGTTAAAGATAATGATAGTGATAATGAAAAACTCTGAATAAAACGATAAGTACTTTCAGTTTTGATAAGAATGTCTGATGATTCAGTTGATAGTGATGAAATGTCATTTCTGGATTAATATAATTAAAGTATATTTTAAATTATTATTTAGAGTCAGGAGTCGAGTCAAGTCAGACCTTCTGAAATTTTACAAGTCAGAGTTGGAGTTGGAGGCTTGGTCTACCCACTCACAGCCCTGAATAAAGCACAACTTGCATTAATACAGTCGACTCCCCTATAACACGGGTTCACATAATGCAGATTCGTATATCGCGGCGAAAAAATTGTGACTGTATTCGTATAAAGATGCTAAAAGAGACTCGTAAAATGCGGTAAAACGTCATCACCGACTTGTGTCGCGACAGGATTGGTCGAATCTGGACCAATAGTGGACGAGCAGCCGAACTACTTACACGCTATGGAGAGTTTAGGCTGGTAAGTTGAGTTTACTATCGTCTGTACAGTATATAGGCTTAAATTAGGTACTGTAAGTCTAATACAGTATTGTAATTTTATATATTTCTTGTGAAAAAAACATTTCTTATTCAACGGCCATAAAAATTATTTCTATTAATGATGTCTCCAAAGTTCAATGAACTTTTCACAGAAAAATAACTTATCAGAAAACGCGGCCGCCGTTTGCTGCGCTGCTCCGTGACAAAAACAAGCTTAAGCAATGGCATCGTCAAACGGTGCACACTCGGTAAGTAATCCTACAATTTTTTGTTTATAGCATAGTTTATACAGATTATTCCCAAAAAATTATATGTGTTTTGGAAATGTTGAGTGAAATTTAGTCTAGAATCGATTAATTTTATGGAAGAAAACCTTTCAAACAGCCATAGTCCGTAAACTGCACATGTGCTGGGCTATGATTGGCTCATGTATTTGAGGATTCCTACAGCGTGAAATTCTTATTAAGCGGAACGTATCTACCACATTATAGGGGGTCGACTGTAATTGAATAGAAATATAAAGGTAATTTTCACACAAATTAATTAAGCAATCCAAAAATTTAAAATTAAATATTAAAATAATAATAAAAGAAATAAAAAAATTAATCACATATAACAATTCATACCTTATTAACTAGTTACAAATTTCAATAATTAATGTTTTTGCCTAGTTATAAAGATAACACATTTTAGAACCAAAAAATGTAATTAAACAAAATTCAATAAAATATAGCATTAAAATAATGTAACATGATAAATTTTTCATAGTTTATCATCATAAATGAGTCAATTTTCTTTGTCATGTATAATATTCCCTAAAAAACACCTCAGAAGCTGGAAAAGGATATAAATACTCTCAAACACCTTCCATATTGGTTCCAGCAGATAGCTTTACTGTAAAAAAAACTGTAAAGCTTTCTGCTTTACTTTTTTATTTATTTACTGTTTTTTTACAATATTTTCAAGATTATATCTAATACTATACAAACAATATGCATTACTGGTTTAGATTTATCCAAGAATATATCTAACTTCAAACAATTATACTATTTTGCAAATTCATTGGGAAAAATGCACAAAATTGCTGTGTCGAACCTATCACATATGTGGCGAATGACTTTATCATTTAAGACACATTATTTCTGAACAAAGTGGCAGAAATGCATTTTGGGCAATTTGCCCCTCTTCGGTTCTCATTTCTACAATTATAAACTCTGCATCATAAAATACATTAAACTTAACATTTATTTACATACACACAAAACCCAGATAAAAAATGAAGGTTATGAAAACAATATTTACTCACGACTCCTGGATAAAAGGCATAGAATTAAAACTAAAACAAGAAAGAACAAAACAAGAAATTGCAAAGATTCCTAAATCTAGATTACATAATCAACATTTTCATGTTAGTGCATAATAAAGATATTTAACCATCAAAAACTATCCAATGCTTGCTTATAAAAAGGAATATTCTACTGGAAAATTGTGAATGAGTAATTCATTTTTAATAATAATGAATAATATTAAATACATTTTATGGAGTTAATAAGTTACATTGATTTAAACCAGATCCTATAAATTTGGCAAATCTACAAGATAGTAAGAAAGTGAAACCTTCACAAATCATTAAGTAAATGATTTATTTCGGTTTTATCAATCTTATCATTTAATTTATTTTTATTTTTATTATCAGCTTTATAAAAAGGAAAAGAAAAAATATCAGACAAACTCTTCCTTGTCATGCATTGTGAATACAATTACAAGCCTTAATTGCTTGCAAATGACCTTTAAGGCTTCATTTTAATTCAAAATAAACAATATTTTATATAAGCAATTATCATTAATTTTAATTTTATTGAAATATTTTCTAAAAAATTAACTACCGATAGGAAAAAACTGTCCTAATTTGTTCAAAATTCTTATATTTTTAGTTGCTTATATTAAAATATAAGTAAATTGTTCAAAAATAATGCGTTAAACTTCAAGAATAAATAAATCAATTGTATATAATAATATTTACTATGAATTTCCTTCTCTGCGTTTAGGTTCTTTAAGGATAATAACGTTTACTCACAAAAAAAAGGCAAATTCATTTACCGTTTAGTTGCGTTTATTTACAATCCAGAATTGTATGTAATTAATTCTAATATTGAGAAAAAAACGTGCCGATTTCACTTGAAATTGATATATTTTTGATGTTTGAAAACAGGAAACAGAAGATACAACAGGAAGAAAATCATAGAGATCAAGACAACTCCCATCATCCTACAAAATTATATTTTCGTTAAATTGATAATTCAATTTTTCTTTATAATTATTTTTCTTTATTAAGAATTAATTTAGTAGATTAAAAGTTAAATTTTTTAATTTAATTTAAATTTCTTCCGCTGTATTGATTTATTTTTCCCCTTTTTACTATCCGCCCTGTTGGCATTAAGAGGGCTTTTTTAATCATATCATTTTTTTTCTTTTTATTTATTTATTTTTTTGCTTTTTCCGCTCTGTGCTCCGTGAGTACTAAGTGGGCCTCTTTTAGCTAGCCCATTATGGGTTCGGCCAGGCCCACAATGAGCCAGCCGAGTGGTGAGGGACGGGGCCCGACTGCCATAAAAACTTCCCATGATTGCTGGACTAGATTCGATCTCGGATCCCTAAAACCTTGGACGCCTAAACCGAGTATGCCATCTAGTCGTCCCTCTTTATTGATTAAAATCAAGAAACGTGGAAATTTAACTTTTTATAAAATAACTTATATATTATTTAATTTATAAGAAAATTGAAATTTGAAAGTCTTTTCCAAGAGAAACTATATGAATTTTATCGTAAAATCACAGAAAGCCATTAAATACAGTATATCATCAAAATAAATTTAGGAAATATGTTAAAGGTTTTCAGCAATTTTATAACGCAAGCTTTGTATTCCATTTGGAAATCTCTCAAATCTCAACTTTTTAATTTCTCAAATAATTTGAAAATGTTACACTTTTGTAATAATTTGACACTTTTCAAAAATTCTTAATCGTATCTACCCTTACTGTGGTTAGTCATTTTCCAATTGTTACCAGAGATTTTTATTGCGCTTATCAAGATTAATAGTTTAATATATGTTTGTAGCATACCGTTGCTGTTCGATATTGAGATTTTCAATATATTGATAGAAGAGTGGCACAGTAAGGTATTCTTATGCTATTGTGCGAGATTCGAGTTTGAGTTAGACTCTGATATTTGTAATTCTAATAGTTAGTTCGGATTAAGACTTCGTTTTTTATTTCTCATGTAAATTACGGTAGTCAATTTTCAAATGTAGTCATTAGTATGGACGAATAAAAACAGGCAATGTAGTCCATCGTACGTTAGTGTCACGAAGCATCCAATATAAATATGAAGAAGAAATTTTTATACAAGATTTCTTTTCAAATATTATTATTGAATGAACCATTAAGAATATATTTTGAAAAAAATTATCATTCCAGCTCATCTAATTCTTCGAAAATGCTCCGTCAAGATTATCATATGCCTTGTTTTAACCATGGCTGTAAACAGTCTCGCTCCTAGAATGACCGTCTCGGAAATACCATAATTTGTCTCACAAATAAAAACTGTATTTTTGGTATTTTTCAAACATTTTGGTAACAGTTCAAAATATGCTAAAATCATTTAATTTTAGAACATGAACGCGTTTACGTCGAAATCTATGAAGTAAATTTCAAAAAGAAGCCAAGACTTACGTGCATTTTAAAAAAGTATAAGTACTTATGTTCTCGAAGAAGTGGAAACGCTTTCCTACAGTTTTTAAAGAGAATTTTGAACATTTTTAATTTATAAATTATTCCCTCGAAGCTTGGCATTTGTCCTTTTTTTTCAGACCATGTTGTCTCTCATTGTTACAATGTATAGTTAATAGGACTGTCTTAACAAATGTAGTAATCAAATTAATCGCCTTTGGACAGAATTAGTCAATGTGTGGCACATTAGTATTTTTCATTTTTTTCGTGTGACACGGCCATTCAATTTGTCTAGGCAAACTGAATGGACGTGTCACAATTATCAAACTTTAAAAAATGATGTATACAGATAATTGTATGGTGATGTGTAACAATTAAAACAACCTTGTCCTGGTTTCAGTGTTGTTTGAATATTTTTTTAATAATTTCTTTAGCTGGAAGAGACAAGTTTTCTCAAATTTTATATAGTTTTTAAATTAATAGAAGTAACTGCAAGTCTAATTGGAAAGTTTTTAAACTTTTATCATTTTTATTTTAAAAATGAATTCGAAAAACGATTTTTCAACTTAGATAAAGAAAAAGATTATCGGTAATGTTAAAAAAAATTATAAAAATTATTATTGTTGTATTACATATATTGTAAAATTTTTATTCTAAAATTAAAATACTTTTATTTATTTTCTGTCGTTATGCAAGCTCTACAGTATGTACAGTAGTTTTTTTTTTTTTTTGCTCTTTCCGCTTTGTGAGCAACAAGAAAGACTTATTTACATATTTAGTAAGCCCATTACGGGTTCGGCCAAGCCTACAATGGAGCAACCGGCTGGTGAGGAATGTGGGAGACATATCTGGTCGGATTACCCCCCCTGAAAAAGTTCTGGAGATTTTTCGAAACGTCCGGATTTGATCCCGGGTAAAATTTTTTAATCAGAAAGTGACAATAGAAGATGCATTTGGTTTCTATTATTGAATTCTTTTGCCACCACGTATATGAATTCGAATTTCCTCCGAATTAATGTGATTGACAGCCGGATGACCGAGGTGATTAAGGCGATCAGTCTATTGCTCTGGGAAACCCAAAATTGAATCAAGACGGCAAACTCCAAAAAGTTTTCATGGGAGGTCTGTCTGTCCCAGATATGTCTGATCCTGTCCCTTAAACATTATGCCGTTCCCAATGTGGATCTAGTCGAATCCACAAGGGATTTGGAGAAAGACCCGCTTAGTGCCCACACAGCAGAAAAAGAAAAAAGTAATATAATAAATATTAAAACTATTAAACCAGCAGTGGCCAAGAAAAGTAATTGTTTGAAATTGTAAAAATGGAATTTGTTTATTTTTCTTGTTATTGGACTGAAAATCAAATATTCCTAATCATATTTCCAAGTACTTTATCAGTAAACTGGTTATGCAATTTCTGTTTTTATTAAATTCATCAACGAAGAACTTTGTTTGAACTTATAGGTTTTCCCAAACCAACACAGAATTTTGACTAAATGTTCTTGCATTAAGAAATTACAGATCTGACAGAAAGTGCCCAAAAGGAAATTTTACGTTTTACGCTGATCCTAGTATTCATAAATTCATTTTTTAAACCTAAATTAGTTTTCAAATTTATTGTTTTCATTTGTTAATCAGAATCAATTAAATCCAATTCTTCATTCGAAATGCAAAAATAATTTGAAAACAGTTTAAACTACGAGGCATAATGAGTCATATATTCGGAAGATCACGAACCGAGTGCTAAATATTTACAAAATGACGTAATTGACCTAAATCCTATTATTCAAAATAATAATATTTTAAAATATTAACTTCTAACTACTAAACTTTTACATAGCATTAAAGAACAAATAAATATAAAAATTGTAAATTTTAATTAATCCTTTCTCTAATATATTATAATATTTATGATTAATTGTCGCTGTAGGAAGAAGAGGGTTCTTTAAGGATAATAACGTTTACTCACAAAAAAAAGGCAAATTCATTTACCGTTTAGTTGCGTTTATTTACAATCCAGAATTGTATGTAATTAATTCTAATATTGAGAAAAAAACGTGCCGATTTCACTTGAAATTGATATATTTTTGATGTTTGAAAACAGGAAACAGAAGATACAACAGGAAGAAAATCATAGAGATCAAGACAACTCCCATCATCCTACAAAATTATATTTTCGTTAAATTGATAATTCAATTTTTCTTTATAATTATTTTTCTTTATTAAGAATTAATTTAGTAGATTAAAAGTTAAATTTTTTAATTTAATTTAAATTTCTTCCGCTGTATTGATTTATTTTTCCCCTTTTTACTATCCGCCCTGTTGGCATTAAGAGGGCTTTTTTAATCATATCATTTTTTTTCTTTTTATTTATTTATTTTTTTGCTTTTTCCGCTCTGTGCTCCGTGAGTACTAAGTGGGCCTCTTTTAGCTAGCCCATTATGGGTTCGGCCAGGCCCACAATGAGCCAGCCGAGTGGTGAGGGACGGGGCCCGACTGCCATAAAAACTTCCCATGATTGCTGGACTAGATTCGATCTCGGATCCCTAAAACCTTGGACGCCTAAACCGAGTATGCCATCTAGTCGTCCCTCTTTATTGATTAAAATCAAGAAACGTGGAAATTTAACTTTTTATAAAATAACTTATATATTATTTAATTTATAAGAAAATTGAAATTTGAAAGTCTTTTCCAAGAGAAACTATATGAATTTTATCGTAAAATCACAGAAAGCCATTAAATACAGTATATCATCAAAATAAATTTAGGAAATATGTTAAAGGTTTTCAGCAATTTTATAACGCAAGCTTTGTATTCCATTTGGAAATCTCTCAAATCTCAACTTTTTAATTTCTCAAATAATTTGAAAATGTTACACTTTTGTAATAATTTGACACTTTTCAAAAATTCTTAATCGTATCTACCCTTACTGTGGTTAGTCATTTTCCAATTGTTACCAGAGATTTTTATTGCGCTTATCAAGATTAATAGTTTAATATATGTTTGTAGCATACCGTTGCTGTTCGATATTGAGATTTTCAATATATTGATAGAAGAGTGGCACAGTAAGGTATTCTTATGCTATTGTGCGAGATTCGAGTTTGAGTTAGACTCTGATATTTGTAATTCTAATAGTTAGTTCGGATTAAGACTTCGTTTTTTATTTCTCATGTAAATTACGTTAGTCAATTTTCAAATGTAGTCATTAGTATGGACGAATAAAAACAGGCAATGTAGTCCATCGTACGTTAGTGTCACGAAGCATCCAATATAAATATGAAGAAGAAATTTTTATACAAGATTTCTTTTCAAATATTATTATTGAATGAACCATTAAGAATATATTTTGAAAAAAATTATCATTCCAGCTCATCTAATTCTTCGAAAATGCTCCGTCAAGATTATCATATGCCTTGTTTTAACCATGGCTGTAAACAGTCTCGCTCCTAGAATGACCGTCTCGGAAATACCATAATTTGTCTCACAAATAAAAACTGTATTTTTGGTATTTTTCAAACATTTTGGTAACAG